AGTCTCTGGTGTTTGTATTGTATGGAAAGGTCAAGCTCCAAACCTGTTACATAATGAAGTTTTATAACTAATACCAGGTACCCAGCTGGTTAGTGGGCACATGTTTCCAGGCTGGCATTGCTTCAACTTAATTCTGTAGGTGGTTCATTGACATAGTAGATGGATTACAGAACTGTGCACCCTCTTTGGCTTTGCATGTTAAGAGACACACATGTCATCTTAAAGGGAAACTCTAGTCAGACAGTAAAATGCACAGTTTTAAACACAAATCCTATAAAGGTTGCAAGCAAATTTGAAAAATAATGCATATAATGCACCTTTGATCCAACCAGCCCTGCTGCTATTTGTAGTAATTTAGGTAGGACCTATACACAGCCTTCATGCCAGGGGCCATTTGAAAAATAATCACCAAAGGAGAAAAGGAAATATGAAATGTGCAAAAGAAAATCATATAGGTATATAACAGTTTACATTTGTTAGAAGAGTTTATAATTAATAAATATCTTGTACAAAATTAGGGAACAGACTGAAAATCTGTAGTATGTTTTGTACAGTTAGCAAGTACATATTTAGCAACCTGTTGAATAAGGAAATGGCTAGCAACTTATTAAAACAGACAACCAAGGAACCCTGTTACTATGTCACATGGTCTGGTTGAAACATCGTGTGAATGATGCTAATTTCTTTACATTTTCTTGTGTGTGTGTGTGTACGTATACAATGATCTGGTCCTGAATCTGGTCCCTCTTGTCATATCAATGCAGAATTTGTGCAAAGACTGAAGTGACATACAGAACATACATTTAAAAAAAAGACAAGAATACGGTAACTGAATACAGGCTATTTAATGAAGTATCAGAATCCAAACCTGGAAGAAAGATATTTGCAAGTACTGGGATTAACTAAAGATTGTACATGTCATTATGGAACTGTGCATCAATTACCAAATGTATTTGCTTTTAGAGACATATCTGTTTAAAAGCTAACGACAGCTAAATATGCATGTAAGCCACCACAAAATTAGTTTTGGTTTCAGATCCATTTGTATTTTTTTTTTTTTCAATTTCGTTATAGGATCTGAAATTCGGATCAGTCTGATACTCATTATTTGGATTTCGGATAGATCCGATGTTTCATTATCGGATGTATTTGGATTGAGTAAATCACATTTACAATTAGAAAACAGTGTTGGATCCCCCCAAATTCATACCAGACCATTTAGGCCCAGTAGTTATTTTAGGGGGGACCCCAATGACAAAAAAACGAAATTCCTTACCAGATCATTGATCTGAGCAGCAGCCTGGCAGAGCTGGAAAGGGGACCCCCTGGAAAAGCACCTTGTCCCCATGACGATGAGGACAAGAGCCTCTTCCTCACAATCCTAGCCCAGTGGTTGTGTTGGTCTGTGGCCAGGGGGGCTTATCTGAATCCTGTGAAATCTTTATGAAAGGGGGCACTTAGATGCAGCCACCCTTGTGAATGAGCACTAAATACACAGTAAAATAGTGAAAAAAACACACCACACTAGTTTGTAAAGTCCTTTATTCGTAAATAAACACAGCACACAGTTTTTGTCAAGTCCTAAATACAAAAAATGTCCCACAATGTAAATCCATCGGCAATCAAGTTGTCCAGTGGTGTAGTTCCTCGTCAATCACGATGCTTGCCGGCTTAACCTCCCTGGCGGTATTCCCGAGTCTGGCTCGGGGTGAATTTTCCATATCAGGAGCAGTAACCCCGAGCCAGACTCGGGGCTGCACAGAAAAGTGACACTCACCTTGTCCCTGCGATCCCGCGGCGTCCTCTGCTGTACGCGGCTCGAAAATGAAACTAAAAGCCGGCATCTGACTTTTAGTTCCGTTTTCGAGCGTCACAGCCGGCGGGAAATTCAAAAAGTGAAAAGTTGCAATATACACAGAATACACACAATACAATGTAATCTGCTATGATTACACTTATGTATCAAACTATTTCACTTCAATTTTGTCCCTAGAGCTTTGTCCAGTGCCCTGCCTGACACTTTTTCAAATTTTTAAGAAATTATAATATAATAAATAATTATAAAAAATTATAATAAAATAATTTAAAAAATGGTCCAGTAAATGGGAATTCTGGGGTCGTTGCCTGATCCGTACCACAGTAAATAAAGTACCAAGTTCGCACATCACTGAGCTCGGTCGCAGAATCCTCGCTGTCCTCACTTTCAGTGTCTGTTGAGGAATTTCCCAACGAATCGCTATCACTCAATTCTGCAAGTAGTTCTAATTTACTATCGCTGTTTTCTACCTGGTCTAAAACCGCTTTTGACCTAAAACAGCGACGATTCTGCGACCGAGCTCAGTGATGTGCGAACTTGGTACTCTATTGACTGTGGTACGGATCAGGCTGCGCCCCCAGAATTCCCATTTACTGGACCATTTTTTTAAATTATTATATTATAATTTTTTATAATTATTTATAATTATTTATTATATTATAATTTCTTATAATTATTTATAATTTATTATATTATAATTTTTTAATTTCGTGTTTCAAACTTTATCATACCTGGGATGTCTACTGGACTCTTGTTTGGACAGATTTAGTTGAGTTATTCCTAGGATTTACTAAGAACTACAGGCCTACAATGTAAAACAACATATTTGCTTGAAAAACAATGTACCGCTTTTGGTACCTAAAATCCTGAATAATCATACCGCCAGGGAGGTTAATGGAAGAAAAATCCCCACCGCCACATCCGAACCCAGTGAACTCTTGCTGCAAGTGACAGCTCTGCTCCTGATTATAAACAAGGGGCGAAGCAAGTTCGGGCGTCATGGAACTTGCTCTGCCCTTTTGTTTACATATCATTAGGGGACCAAGAGCTGTCATGGAATGTAATCAAAGAAGTGGGTACTTCCCATGGCGGCACGACATGCTCCCCCTTTGTGTTAATATTTAGGAGGAGAGCTGTAACTTGCGGGAAGAGTTTCAGGTTTGGATGTGGCAGCGGGGATTTTTCCTTTCATCGAGTGGGCTCGCGGCGGGCATTATGATTGATGAGGATCTGCATTGCTAGAGGAAGTGATTGGCAATGGATTTACATCATGGGACATTTTTCTTTTTTTAATAAAGGACTTTACAAACCAGTGTGGTGTGTTTCCTATTTTACTGTGTATTTGGTGAATGAATAGGAGTAAAACTACCCCTTACTTATTCCCAAGGCGGGGGGGGACTAGCTTCAGATAAGACCCCCCTTCCTGCATAACCCCACAACCACCAGGCCTGGGTTGTGGGGAAGAGGCCCTTGTCCTCATCAACAGGACAAGGTGCTTTGCCAGGCGGTCTTTCTGGTATGGTGAAGGAGGATGGGGGTGCACAATCTCCCCCCCCTTTCCCATTCTGCACAGCTGCTGCTTGGAAAAGTGTCTGGTATGAATTTTTAGGGAGACCCCACACTTTTTTTTTTGGGGGGGGGTAGTCTAACACCTTCAAGTTCATTTCAGAAAATTCGTATTCTTCTGAATTTTCGGTACTGCAAAATTCGGATTTGTTTGAATTCCCTATTTTTTCAGATGCATCTAAACTGCAGATATTCTTCCAAATTTCAATTTGGAAGGAAATGAATCTTACATGTCTACAGCTAACCATGTATAGTGACTCTAGAGGTACAACCAATGGAACAAGCAATGTCTTTGTGGTCAACTAAAACCACTTCGGCATTTGTTTAAAAAAAATTAAATATCAGGAATTGTTGATTAATGATAAAAATGGATTAAGGAGAGGAAAGCTGCTTGAGATCTGAATATCAACAGACACTTTATATGGAAAGGTAGGTATGGAAGGGTAGGGTACTTGGATGCGTCCTATGATGGTGATGAGTGATATTTGTCCATGAAAGAGGTGTCTTCACAAACAAGTAAGTCTAACTCTTTCTACTAATATGATTTTCAAAAGTTTATAGCATAAACTTTGGTATATGAATCTAACAATCTCCTCAATAGATGACTACAAAAGTAAAATATACTGGGGGGAATTTATCAAATATAGAGCAGACAAAATCTGGAGCAGTTGCCCGGGCATCCAATAAGCTTCTCGCTTCAGTTTGGTCAGTTAAGATTTGTAAATGAAAGAGAGAAGCTGATTGGTTGCCATGCACAGATGCTCCAGATTTTCTCTGCTCCATTTTTTAAATTCCTCTTACTGTATAATAGCCAATATGGAATTATTACAATCAAACTATATAATAGTATGTTTCAGGGTAAGAGATTTAGTAGACAAGGACTTCTGCAGATTTGGAATGGTGGCATGCTACCCTGCCTTATAATTGGTAAGATTTCCAGGATTCAAACATAACAAGAACTTAGTGTCACTGTCTGTCATAAATGTTGTCATGTTTAAAATGTACATTCTTTGTTGACATGATCCATGTGAAATGAGCTTAAAGGGAACCTCCTAGTACTCTGTTAATATCAAAAACAAGGGCAGGCTAAGCTCTTGCTTAAAAAATTACCTGGCAGTACTATGTGCTAAATCAGGAAATTGTTTGTTATGGAGATAAAAACAAATAAGATAAGAGTATGCATTCAATGGAGGAACGTCTACTGGAGGAGGCACAGTGTGCTGTACTGCTATATTTGTGGTCCAAAACAGTACAAAAACAACTTGGTTATAGATCCTATCCATCTAATCTGTTTATAAATAAAGCATGTATAGTATACTTAGATGATGGATAGATCAGCAGCAGGCAGAACACACACATCTGCCTGCCTTGGACCCTTAGTAAACTGTACCTCAGTAGTCCCAAGGTTACACTCGCTGAAAGTGGGTTTTGCCATGTTATAGTTAATTTTTTCAAATGCCAATTCAAGAAAAATACATTATATACAGTGTATGTGTGTATGTGTATATACTGTATATATCTCTATATATATGCAATATTTCCCTTTAAGCTCATTACATTTTCACTTCTTCCTAAGGTAATTAATTATTATCTCTTCACTTTATTGTTTTTTATGCAGAAAGTTAGACGAGGTCCTGCCCCAAGTCCGAGCCCCACAGACTCTAAACGTGTGAGCTTTTTTGGCACAAGTCGCTTCCACATCTCTGATTTCAATTTCCTCATGGTACTTGGCAAAGGAAGTTTTGGAAAGGTGAGTAGAGGTTCCATTTGCAGCTGCCTTTTAGCTTTCCTGTTTTAAACAATCAAACCAGTCGCATTGGCCATTTTGCAGCAGCTTGTAGATAGCTCTAGAATGGTTATTATCTCTAGATAAAATGTTTGTTTAATTCCTTACTCCAATTTATCACCCTCCCTAGAAAAAAACCCAAAATATTTGTGTACTGAAATAAGAATCATACAACCATGTGACATGTAATGTTTGTTTCTAAGCATGCTTATTTGGGTGTGTAATAATTGTTTGTGCTGGCCTGAGATTGCATAGGGCCTTTTCTATGTCACCAGCTTTGGCAGAAGCATGCTTTCTTCCACCACCTGCACCTGCCCAACCATATTTACTAAAATAGGCAAGCATCGATATCTTTTAAAGAGCATTTTTCCATTTTTGCAGTCAAATTTGAGAAAACCCCTCCATATGTTTGTTACATGTTCCTATTCACACAGCATACTGAAAAATAACTTTTAAAAACATTTCTTACCTTTTATATTCAGACAAGATGGCTGATTCCAGGTTTTTGTTAGCCCTTTCACAGTGGTCTGTCCATGGGACAGCCGTGGGACTGTAATTTGAGGATTGTGTTTATCTGATAAGTTTTATTAACATACAATGGGCTAGCCACTTTAGGCCCCTCACAGCCCCTTCTAACATTTCAAAGAAATAGAAGCTAGAAGAAATTAATTTTTGGTGCAATACATTTTTATTCAAATTTTCAATTTACAAATCAAGGATACAAAATAATATACAGGAAAATAGGAGAATAGCTATGCTCTGGATAAGGTAGCTTACTAAGTACTCTATCCAGGGCCAGTTTTATACTTTCTGCCCCCTAGGACAACTGTCTTCTGCTGCCATTCTTACTCAGTCAAACAGCTTGCCTTAGGTTCACCACCACACAACTTGCAATCTGATTGTACCATCTCCTTTAGATCTACCAACAACTAGGTAGACCAAAGTGTGGTGGCAGCTGTGTCAAAATCCACTCACAGCCGTTATCCTACACGAAGATTTGCAGCTCCCCCTTCTCACTCAGTATAAGGTTCATCCGACTTCACTGTTCTCACATAAGGGTCTATCTAATTGTGTAGGAATTGATAAGATGCATAGATAAGGTAGATCCTCATATTACATAGTTTTGGTAAATATTTGTAATGTGTATGGTGACCCCGAATAATATGCTAACAAGATTAATTCATAGCCACACAAGACATGCCTAGACCAAAGGTGACAGCTTCCTTCTTTGTGTCAGTAAATTTAGATCTGATGACCAGAAGAATTCTGGTCATCAGTTCAAAATATCACCCTGCTGTGCTAGTAGTTCAGTTCTAGGTGTTCAGAGCCAGAGTGGAGGAACTATGAGTTCACGGTACACTATTCTACCAATTAAACAGATCAAAGTATGCAGGGACAAGGACAACACTGCTGTGCAATTCCAGTGCACAACAAACAGTGTTATAGAAAGTAGAAAAATAATGGATCTACTAGCAGGATTAATAGAGAATAAAACTATGTCAAAGAAAGAATACTAAGGACAGACTGCATAATATATTTCATGTTTTTTTCTATTATTCTATAGTAAAGTGGTTAGTAAAATATAAATAATTCTGTAGTTTAGATAGTTATATAAATGATAATATAAACGTTATATGTTTAATCAAAATTGTGTCATGAATAATGACTGTACCTTTTACCACATAAAGAAGGAATATATCTCCTCTCCAATAGCTTCTTACTGTTAAAAATATGACCAAGAGAAAGAAGCAACTCATTTATTATGCAAATGGTATGGTGTGAGACTCAGAGAGGAAAGAACTGAAATATTACATAGATTTACAGAGGAGGAAAGAGAGGAAATGAAAAGGAAACATGTTAAGTTATTCCATCAAATTACAGGCTTTCTCAGGATACTTTATAATTATGGGTACTAGAGAGGGATGTTCAGATCATTGTGCCAGGTAGTTGGCCCATATAGCTTACTCAGAAGATAATGCAAGAATAATACAAGCTTCAAAAAATGGGTTTTAAGCCAAAGTTGTTTTTGGCAATCTTTAAAGTAGTACTAAAGGCTCTGTGTTTTTTACCTTAATGTATTCTCTGCATGAAGGTTAAAAATGCCCCAGTACCTTGGCATTGCCCCCCCCCCACCTCCAAACACTTACATTTGGTCTGTGTTCACCACCACCAGCTCCAAGATGATCTGCTGGGTTCTGGGTTGTAGAGCAGGGATCTCAAGGGCAACGAGGACGGAGCAGTGATAGGCTGCTGGAGCTGCCTGTCAATTTGCTGGGAGGAGGCGGGAGTAGGGGCATGGTCTGTTGAGTGCTGTGTGTTCCAGTGGATGCACACAGCATGGCTAAGTTCCTGACCAGGAGCGCACACGCACAGTTGTCTGCTTTGGAACCCGCTAGGCACCGTAAACAGGTGGGGAGGACCGTGTTATAAAACCTCCAAATTATAAATAAAATGGGGTCGTTTCAAACAAAAAAGCTAATTGAGTAAGAATGGATCTATAGTGTTGATTTAAACATAAAGGGTTTAATTTCACTTTAACTCTACAGATGTTGTTATACGTATGAGTAGACGTTGAAAGAAGTTATTGCCAGTTTCACATATAATATTTTAAAGTTCCTTTTAAAGCAATGTGCTGAGTTTGTTTCTTTTCTTTTTATATCTATGCATTGCCTTTGCCAAAGCTTCTTCTCACAGGGCTTTGAAGTAAACCCCCAGGCTTGTCATGCAACATTGGAATCAAAAACTCCTTAGTAACTCAGAGGCCAATTACTGTGAACTTACTTCTGCTATGTACAACACCGTAAGATTTTAGTGGTTTATAATAAAAATTAGTCCTTGCCTCGTTTCCAGTATTCTCTAGTTTCACAGCTTTTTTTCCATTAAATGAGATCGCAACCTTTTGTGAGCTTATAGTATATGAATGGGTATGAATAGAAAGATAAAGCAGTGAGCACAGTCTTGCTTTTGTGTAGATTTCTTGGTGTGTGAGGCAACAAAATGTGCATTTATTAATATAAAAAAAGTATTTCTCCTAGTTTGTAAGGATCAACCTATCCAAAACTGGTATTTCAGTCATAAGCTGACATTATTCGGACCATCGTGGAAAGAACTGTTGACGCTGGAAAAATGAATGTAGTTGATTTTATGGCCTGTTTTAAAATTGTTTAGATAGGTAAATGCTGTGTGCTTTTAAGATCAATTTTAGATCCTTCTGATATCATTCAGAGTTTATGGCAACTGCAGTTGACTTGTTTCAGCTGCTTTTGCATTTCCATAGACTTGTATGGGGAGAGAAGCAGTTCTAAAGCAAAAAAGAACCCATTGACACACACCCTATATAGGGGAATTGGCCTGAATTCATCCACATCTATGTGAGACCCTGGTTATCAGCAGCAAGTATAAATTAGTTGCAGAAATTGCAGCTCAACTTGTACGACCGGCTTTTGAACTGTGGTGATCGCCTACATTTTCAACTGCACTTTGACACTGAAGTCATTTTTTTCTTTGAGAGCAAATCCAAACAAGTCTGATATTCAAGGAAACCTGCTGCAAATGGTGAATTGCCCCCCTAGAAAATGCTAGTTGAATTGTTCTTATGATAATTTAATGGCTTATTTATAGAACAAGTATACAGATCAGGATTTCTGACTTCACCTAATGCACACTTGTTTTTGGTCAGTGACTCAAGAAGAACAGAGGCCAGAGACAGTCAGGCAACAATATTTTTCAGAAGGAGGTCAGCAATGGCAGCCTCCACCATTCCCTTAATAACAGGTATCCTTTTAAAAGCTCAAAACATAAGGGAAGGTAGAAAGACAGAATCATATAATTACAAGTCTGCAATAATATACCATGCTGCTGTTTAATTTTAGGGTGATGACTTGGTCCAGTCTCTACTGATAAACTGTGTCCATTGTGCTTTTGTTTCTCCTTACGTTCTTTTTGTGTAACTCCTATTTTCAGGTCATGTTGGCCGAGAGACGTGGTTCTGAGGAACTCTATGCCATCAAAATTCTCAAGAAGGACGTAATTATACAGGATGATGATGTGGAGTGTACCATGGTGGAGAAACGTGTGTTGGCCTTGTCTGATAGGCCCCATTTCCTGACACAGCTTCATTCTACATTTCAGACTGTGGTATGCTTTAGCTTTAATTCTCCTTTATCACTCAGCTTCAAATCAGAGCCCAATATAAAAATTCAAACCAGCATGTTTGTTACTATCTAAAAAATATTTCACCACAACCTATTGCTGAACTATTTTAATTACCTTCAAAAATGAAAATCAGGAAGAATAATATTGTGCATTCTTCTCTGTCCATTATTTTTAGATTACCTGAGGACTAAATTATTGTGATTCTATCTCTAGGATCGCCTTTATTTTGTAATGGAATATGTGAATGGTGGGGACCTGATGTATCACATCCAACAGGTTGGCAAGTTCAAGGAGCCCCATGCCATGTAAGTACTCTGACAATTTCACTTTCTTGCAGTTTTATGCAAAAAAAAAAAAAGCATCAAACACTTAAAGGTAGGTATACAAACTATCATGGAGATATTACAAGAAGTTTTTGTTTACAGTAACAATGAAACAAATAAATGAATACATTATATGGCACCTGACCATCACACCTGCTACTATATGGTCTCCATATTATTGAGTTCAGGAGTTTCCATTGAAAGATACTGTGTATGCTGCAGCAAAGATATTTTAAATAATTGTACACTTACAACTTTGTGACAACCGTTTGAGGAAGGCCCTTTTCTGTTCCAGTATGAATCTTCCTCTTTGTACACAATCAGCTCCGTCATGGTCTAATTTGTGAAGGAACTCAAGTGGCACAGGTCCCTGGCCTAAACCCTACTTAACACCTTTGATAAGATTTGGAACACTGACTGTGAGCCAGGTCTTCTCATTCACAATCAGTACCTAATCTCACGAAAGCTCCTTTGGCTGAATGGGTACAAATTCCCACATCACAGACACACTCTTTCCAGGTGTTGTAGCTTCAAAGAAGGGGGAGGGGG